ACCTCCCCTGGCTCTGACCAAGCAGCGCCTTCCATTTCCCCAGCGCACCCCGCTGGTCTGCGCAGCTGCTTAGCGCTTGCCTCTTCAACCCGCTGCGCACCCTGCGGGCCCAGCTGAGTCTGTCTGCTCTGGGCCATTGTCACCCCGGGCCTGGCACAGGCCAGTACGGCGTGGTGCCTGGGGAGGATCTGAGTGAGTGAAGAGTCTAGGGCCAAGGTTGGCAAACTTTTTCTTAATGGTAAATATTCTAGGCTCTGGGGGCCGTAAGAGTCTGTCACAACTACTCAACCTGCCACTGTAGCCAGGAAGCAGCCATAGACAATATGTAAGCAAATGGGCACAGCAATAAAACCTAATTTACAAGAAGAGACAGCAGGCTGAGTGTGCCAACCCTTGGTCTAGAGAAACAACAGAATTCATTCAACAGCGAAGGGAGTGTTTCTAAGGAAATGATTTTCCATGAGAAAGGGCTGTGGCTTCCTGGAAATCGCTGGTAACAGCAGGAGAAGGTGGTTCTGAAACAAGCCCCCACCTGACCCTCAGACAGGTGTGACTTTGAAGGTGACAATTCTGGATCCCCTATGACCTTGCCCCAAGAGGCTCCCGTGTGTCTTGCAGGTGAAGGCCATGACCCTGGGAGGCAGACAGTGTTGGGCGAGGGGTAACAGTGTCCTGGCGTGGAGTCTGAATTCTGCTTCCTGTTGCTCCCATTCAGGGAGGGAGGTGCCTTGTTTGAAGTCAAGCCCAGTCTGGGGAGGGGTGGGGCGCCAGCAGTGACTGGGGCGAGTACCAGAGCGTGTCTGGAGGCTGATCTCTTACGCTGTAGCAGCATAAGCGCCCCAATGAGAGAAGGCATCTGAAATTAAGGTGTTAGGGTCGTTTCTCATTGCATATCTATTAAAAGGTTCTTGTCGGTATGTCCCTTTTAACCCTATAATATTGCCTTTTCATAGCTCAGAATTGTGACTTCGGTGATAATTCCAAACCTAAATGTTTAGTCAGATAAGAGACTCTACTTCATGGGCATTGGAGGTGTCTGAGGCCTGGGAACTGCCTTGGAGGGTGGCCTGATGGTGTGAGGGCGCTGCTGGGGGAGCCTGAGGGATGGCCCTTCCAACCGCTCCTGCTCATTTAATCCAGAGCCACTAGACCAAGTGGCTTGGACAGGACAGAAGGTGGCTGCCACTGCGTGAGCACAGAGGTCCAGGAGCATGTTCTCAGGCTGCCTGAGCTTGGCCATAGTGTGGGGGACACGCAGGTCTGCTGGGTCACAGGGCCAGTAGCCCTCAGGTGATGCCAGAGTGAGCGGTGGGGGCTGGGGGGGGGCGGGGGAAGGAGTAGGTTAGGCCTCTCCTTATACATGGTGGATGGGGACAGAGCAAAGGTGCACAGTTCCCGGTGCCTTAGCCAGCACTCTGAAGCCAGGCCACCAGGGTTCACAGTCCAGGTTTGTCATTTATATGCTGTGTGACTTTTGGCAAGTTAGTATCACTTGGTTGGTGCCTTGGTTTCCTCATCGGAAAAAATGGGGGTGATACAGGCTCCCACCCTGAGGGGTCATTGTATGGAATAGAATGCTTGGCATACTGTGAGCACTCCGTGAGTGTCAGCTGTCAAGAGCAGCCCCTGGAGCAGAGTGTGTCAGGAATCAGGATGGCCCCCCAGAACCCAGTCCTGGGTCTTCCCTCGAGTCTGGGCTTCACACCCAATTACAAAGGGGACCTCGTGTCTGGATGGCACAGGGCCAGGGAGAGGGCATGAGCTGCCTGGTTTCTCCAAGGTCAGCAGACAGGAGGGCCCACTCTGTGGAAGAGTTTGGACCCCAGAATGAAGGAGTTCCGGCTAATGGCCGTCTTTCCCAGACGCGTTGCCCAGACAGGTCTGCCCAGCAGCCAGAACCCTAGACTCCTCAGCCCTTTCTCCAGTTTCCCTTTGCCCTACTTAAAATTAAGTCAGAGGCCCACGGACACCCATGTCAGGCAGGGCCATTTCCTTTTTTGACACCTGCCACCACACCCAGCTTTCAACTCCTTGGGGACTTTGTGAGAGGCTGGGACCAGGTCATTCACCCTTGAATAAAAGGAAAGCAAGGTGACTAGGCTGGGAGCGTGGACTTAGAGGGACTGCAGAGGTGTCTGCCTTTCCAGTGCTTCTCCTCACCTTCCAGGGCAGGCGGGCCTTGTCTCCGGGCCTGGGGAGCATGGGCACCATGTAGCAGGACGAGAATTCCCAGGGCTGGGCCAGAGTACGAGGTGGGGTGAGCCACAAGCAGCCTGCTTGGCATGGCCCTGAGCCTCAGGAGGGCACGGCTGCGGGCTCTGCTCTGCCCTCTGGGTGCTGAGGCAGCACATACTCATGGAGACTTGCTGTGCCCCTGACACTTGGTTGTGGGGATATTGCTCTGAACCAACAGGTAAAGGTCACACTGCAAACACAGCCACATGACATGGCCTGGAATCGGTCCCTGCTAGCGATGCTGCTCGCTCCTCGCATGGGGCCCCAGCAGCTGGGGAAGCACGGTGGCGGTGGCGCGCGCTGTGGTGGCCTGGCTGACTCCCTGCAGGTGGCCGGCCGGCCTGCCCTCTCGCTGTGTGCATCGCCAGCCCTGAGCGTGTCTGACCTCTGCTACTTGGCTTCCCCGATTGGAGCCTTTTCATCACTGGGGAAGCCCTTTCCTGGTGGAGGGAAGGCATATCAGCAAATCGGAGATCAGGGTTTCCAGGCTTCACTTTATCAGGAGGGATAACCGTTTCCCATGAAAATGAGGTCCCCTGCTTTAGTGGAATGGGATTATTAAGACAAATTTGTGAAGCAGAGACTGTGTTCTAATGCACAGAAATCCAAAGTGTCCGTCCTCCTCTCCCTGGCCCATCCTTCCAGCTCAAACGGGGTTTGGGTGGGATCGTATGTGACGGGGAAGAGCTGGGTGGACTTAATCTCTGGATGGTGGCCGCCACCGAGCATCTTGGCAGACTAGGCTGGGGGTGCAGGGAGCAGGGAAAGTGGACACCAAACACAGAGGTGACGTGACTCTTCCAGAAGCTTGCCTGGGAAAGGGGAGAAGCTGCAGGTTTGAGAAGGGTGGACTTTTTTTCAGCCTGTTTGTCTCTAACGTGCTATGAAGCATCCCCTCATAGCTCCCAAAGGAAGGACCCCCAACACCGTCCCTCCATTCAGGAGGCTGGAGGTGAAATAAGTGATGCTTTTCTGTTCAAAGAAATTTAACATCATCAGATTTAATGCCATATTTCTACCGAGCTGAAGTATGGGCCCCCCATGGAACTAAGTAGAGGCCTCGTGAAATGCGTGGCACCCCTGGTATTGACATTGGCCCAGCACCCACTGCCTCCACATTTGGAAATTCTGTCCCTGTGAAGAAAAAAAAATTTTTAAGTGTGTGTGTGTGTGTGTGTTGGGAGGGGGGATGGTGCTGGGCAGAAGAGGAAAAGCTGGCTGGCTCCCCCACTGGGGCCTGGAGTCCAGAGCCATCGGAAAAAGTCTGGATGAGGAATGATTTTGGAGCTTGGCTCAGTGTGAGTTTTGCAGCAGCCAGTGGAAACTTCCAGGAATGCTGCTCTGGGCCAGCCGGGGGCTGTTTCCGCCGCCACTTTTATGAGCTGCAGACCCCCTCCATGGCTGACCGGCCAGCAGAGGGGAATGTGACCGTCTCTTTCAGCTCAGCTCTACCTCTCAGGGTGCAGTTCATATTCCACAGGCAGTAACTTTTCAGGCTCTGTCCTGTGCCCCAGGGCTCAGAGCCTTTGCAGCCCGGCCAACTCATCTAGAAGGGGCCAGCCGCCAGGAGGAGCAGCCTCCATGAGCGGCTGACATCCATGCAGGATGCTGCAAAAATTTATAGCAGTCTTAGAGGGGAAACACCCTCCCAAAATGTTTCAATGTTTTATTAAATATGTGAAAGGAAAGTTTCCTTTCTACTGGACCAAGGCCCAGAGCCTCCATGGAGCCTCAGGGAAGGTGGCAAAACCTCTTGGGAAAGCCCACAAATGAGTAAAATTAATAGAAAGTTTTGTTTCTTAATCTGACCCCTTTCTGATGCTGGTAGGCTGCATGGCACAGGAACCAAGCCTGCTTCATTCACAGTGGACTTGCCCAGGGCCTGGTATGGGCCTGGACACCACTGCCCCTCTGTCAACACTCTGTCCAAAGCCAGAGGAAGGGGGCAGCTTTCTGCAGCCTTGTCTGGAAGCCAGGTTCACAGGCCAGCCGTCATGCTGGGTATGCAGGAGACGCCAGGGAGCAAAGGCTCTGCCTCTGGAAGTCAACATGACGGGCATTGTCATGGTGGACAACATGGGCACCATGCTGTCACCTCTCAGTCTCCGGGACTACTGTGAGCTCGGCATTATCCTTCCCATTACAGAGGAGAAAATGGGCTCAAAAACGGGGAATTAGGGCCTAACCCCCAAACAGCACATTCCTGCAATGGTCCTCAGTGGACTCGGACAGGCAGAGGCCCTCCTGGGCTCAAGGGACTCACCTCCAGCCTGGGAAGCCCCTCCAGGTGTAGAGATAAAGGGCCTGAGGTGTGGGCAGGACCCAGGTGGGGCACCTTCTTTTGTGGATGCAGTTTTCTCACTTTTGGAATGGAGATGCTTGACGGTCTCTGGTTGGTTATGGACAGAGCCTGGCCCACATGAGCAAGTGGTTCTGCTCTGGAACTCCAGTCTAAATGCCAGACCACCGGGGCTGGGGATTCCTCACCCTTGGCTGTCTTGGGCAATGACCAAGGACTATGGGACCTGCTGCCTACTTTCCCTCACTATGTCCTTCCCGCTGCCCAACAAACATCAGAGAACAACCATCCCGAACCAGCAGGAGTGGACATGAAGACCAGAGACAAGGCGCCAGGAAGGAGCCCTGGGTGGGAAGAGCTGGCATTTGTTCAGCGGGCTGAGACAGCTGAGCGGGACTGGCTGAGGGCATCCCCAGGGCAGCCCGATGGCCCCTCCATCCTCTGAGCTTGACCGTTTATTTTGCAGACAGTCTCCATCCTGGAGCAGCGGTTGACACTGACAGAAGACAAGCTGAAGCAGTGTCTAGAGAACCAGCAGCTAATCATGCAGAGAACACCACCATGATCAGGGGAGCAAGAATCAAGAGCTCGGTTAATTTGGGGGGTGACAGGCCCGGGGATTTGTACTAGGGAACTTGGATAAATAAATAAAGGGGATTCAGCTCTGGGAATCACATCCATCCCAGAGCCCCAGGGATCCTGCACCTCTGCCCTCCACCCAAGCTGTCTGCACCTGGAGACTCTCCACTTGGCTGTGGAAGGCCCCACATACCCACAGATGACCATGTTTAGTTTAACGTGAAGGAGCCACTTGAGAATGTTTGCTACCTTGGAGTCCTAAGTGGAGTCCACTTTTCCCTTACGAACCTTCCTGCCGTATGACTGGCTTCCCCCACCGACCTTTCCCAGCGTAGAAATGGACTACTCATTGGTTGGATGAGCCAGGAGTTTCCTATAAATCTGACAAAAGGCCCAAAGTGGACCCATCTGTGTCTGATTTACCCAGGAACAAGCACTCTGGAGAGGGGTGTGGCTTTGCAGTGGCCTTGATTTCTGCCCCACACACGTTCACTGGGGCCTGATGGCTTCCTCCTCTGCATGCATGAGGGCAGAGGAAACAACATTAAAACAGACTTGATGGAGCTCGTCAGTGAAATGGCTTGTTCTGAGTGAGACCTAGTCCCCCCATCCCCAGGACCTATAAAGGGAGAATGAAAATGGCTTCTTGGGAGGGCCCCTGCCAGGATCATCTCTGAAGCCCAGCACACCCTGTTTGCAGCCGTTCGGGGTCTTCAGGAGCAAGGACAGCCAGAGCCCCTGCCTACACCCTGTCCCTCTGGCTGGCCTGGCTGGCTGCTTCAGCTGAGACCTGGAGGCCTAAGGCACCTGCCTTTCCTCTTGCTCGTGAGGGTTCCATAGTCAGCTTCCCCTGCATCCTTGCAGGAAAGCCAGGCAAGTGTTTCCCATATGTCTGGGTGTCGTCCATGCCTTATGCATTCAGCTTCTTGGGGCCCAGCCAGCCAGAGAGGTATTTACCCTCCAACACACCTGCCCTGCCCTGGGGCCTGGGGGGAGGGCGGTGTTAGCTCCTCCCGGGAGCTGTCAGTACCAAGCAGCTAATGAGGTTCCCAGCCTCTGCAGCTTCCAGGTGGGAGCAGAGTCTGAATGCCTAAGAGCTTGGCCTGACAAGAGGCAGCTTATGTTGAGTACCGATGAGATGAACGACAAGCCTGGAGGAGCTGCCTCTTCCACCTGGGTGGGGAGAGAGCCGTAGTCTGCAGTTAGGCCTCAGGCTCTGCCTTTGGTTGAGCCGGGTGACATCAACGTGGTGACATAACCTCTCTGAGCCTCAGGTTCTTGTGTCAGGTGGTGGTGGTAACCACCCCACCAGGTGGCGATGAGGTAGGTACTCAACAGAGGCCCGTGGCTCCCCGCCCCCATCAGTCCCTCTAGGACGATGGGGGAAGAGGCTGCAGGCTCAGGACGCTTTGGAGGCCCCCAGGAACCTGCTGCAGTCTTCCCACGTGGCCCTGCTAGTGTGTAGAAGAGCCTGGAAGTCCTGCTGGTCTAAATTGGCAGGTAAGACCCTTGGCTGTCTCGGGAGGTCATGGGCTCCCTGTCCCTGGAGGCTTTTAGGGAGTCTGGGCAATGCTAAGTCAGCTTGCTCAGAGGGGACACAGCTTGTGGGGCCAGGCTTGTCATCCCCTCCCATGCTGGCTGCCCTGCCACTGATGAGACATTGGCTGCCGTGTTGCAGCCAGTGGAGCTGGAGCTCCCAGGTGTTGGGGCTCTGGTGATCTGAGCAGCCAGCCCAGGCGAGTTCATCTCCAAAGACACAGATGGTGCAACAGGACAGGGGCAGGGTCTCCAAGGCATTGTGTAACAGCTTTGCTCACAGGCCAGGCAAGGGTTGCCACCCATCGTGTCTTCAGTTTACACCAGGATCAAGTTTCGAATTTTTCTCTGAAATCTCCCTTTCTCTGTGGGAGAAAATGAGGATTTTTGAGGGTCTGCTAGGGATTTGGGAAATGGCCTGGGAGGTAGTGGTGTACTGTTTTCCCCTGGAAGTCCCATCACCATTGTCAGATGTAAACAGTCTGGAGAGGGGTACTCACCACCATCCCCACACACAGCACACCCCTTGTCTGGTAGGACAATATTGTCATGTCCTGGGACAGTCCGACCTGGACCCTCCCAGATGGAGGCGGGCCAGAGCTGTGGCCATGGGCTTCTGGGAGGGTTTTGCACGAGTGGCCCGGGCCAAGCCCTTCTGAGGGGTTTCCTGCCACTCACACACCTGCCTTGACGGAGCCACCAGACAGATCTGGAACTGGGGAGAAGGATGGTTCTTGGAGAGCTGCATTTGTCTTTAAAACAGCACAGAGACCTGCCATCTCCAAGCCTGGGGGTCAGTGTGTATGACCTCGCCAAGGCAGAGCTGTGAGGGCTCAGGCTCACATTTGGCCATGTTCTTCCCCAAAGAGTTCCTTTTCTTGCTCATGTGGGGCCTGACCCAGGACCTCACTGCTCTGAGAATCTAGGGGCCAGGTTGCTCCTGGCGGGAGGGAGACAGAAAACCCTAGGGTGCTCTGACCGCTCTGGGGACTGTCTGTCTAGCCTCAGTTCCAAGCCCCGCCCCCGTGAAGGTGCTGCAGGCCCCCCGAGCTGGGCAACACAGTCTGGGCTGGTGGCAGGCAGGACTGGCTATGGGGGGGTTGGGGAGGGGCCCTTATAAGCACAGGAGGGGTGGGGCGGCCTAGCGGGGCTTGAGGTGGCTCGGCCCAGTTGAGGGCCACATGACAGGGCCTGTGGCGTCTTCCCAGATGACACTCCCTGCTAGCCCTCCCAGGCAGCTCCCCTGTGGCCGGGGGCTCTTCCCCATCCCCCACCCATGCTGCCAAGCTCAGAAGCAGCCCCCGGAAATGTAAATGCCTCAGCTCAGCCGTCATCTCTCCTAATTTTGGATTTTGGTAACTGAGCTCCCAGAAAACCAAATTGCAAATTTCTTTTTTGTGTGTGTGTGCTAGGAAGATGTGTTTAGGTTAGTGGGGTTTTGTTAGGAAGTACGTCTCAGTGGCAGTTCCCAGCCCCCACCCCCATCCCTTCATCCCCTAATTTTCCTAACATGTGAAGTGAAAGAACAGGTGTCTGTGATTTAAATTGCAATCCCCCACCTACCCTGTGCCAGATCCTCAGGGTTCCAGCGATGAATCTGTACTCCCTGCCGGAGAAACTGAGGGAGGCAGGTCAGGTGGGCTGGAAGACCAAGCCAGAAGGCAGGAGCTGAGTCCAACCCCTGCCATGGCAAGCCTGCCGCCCTTCATTACTGAGTCACCACTCCCAGGGGTACCTGACAGACTAAGTGCTGGTGGATCCCTGCAGGCATGTGTCCCTCCAGAGACTTGAGTGGCGTGAGCCAGCCTGTCCTGGAAACTGCCATTCTCCCGCCCAGCACCATCCTTGTCCTCTGTCCCATGATCTCAGTGGGGGCGCACTGCGTGACGGCAGGCTGGCAAGAGGGCGGAGCAGGGGAGTCCGGGTCGCTCTGGGAGTCAGGGGCACCACCAGAGTCCAAATCCCGGCTCTGCCCCCCACTAGCTCCATGACCTTGAATGAGCTCAGTAACCTTGTGGAGACCAGTTGTGAGCTAGTGCCCGTCTCATCAGGCACATGAGGTGCTCAGAGGGAGGATGTGCTCCGTGTGTGACTAGAGGGAGATTTCTGGCGGGTCCGACCCCTTCCCTGGGACTTGGCCTGTATGTCCATGGGGATGGAGTCTGGTGGTCCCAGAGTCCTTCTGGCTCTGAAATTCTGGGTGGCCAGGGTTACGGTCTCTTGACCCCGTGGCCTGTGCTTCGGGGATCCCCAGCGGTGAGGAGGGAGTTGGGCCGGCAGACAGCCTCGCCCCACCCGAGGAGGCAAGCCCTCCAAGCCCACCTCTTCTGCTTTCACCAAGGCCGAGGCCGCCAATAGGGCCAGCACAGGCTTGTGGGTGGGTGTTTGTGATTGCCGGGAATCCCGGAAACCCAGCCTGCTGAGCAAGAGCAAGCATGGTGAGTCACACTATCCCAGCTCCCTGTCATTAACCTCATCTTCCTAAACGATCTGCTCAAGATGGGCCCCTAATGGCTCCAGCCTTAACTGGTGGGTGGCCATTTAAGCGGGACAGAACTGGGCCCCGGCATTTTCTCCAAGCACCCCCTCTCCACCCCACCCCGCCCCATGCTGCCGAGGAGGGAACCACCTTGCCAAGGCATCAGTGTCAGGCAGGCGGGCCCCAGCTCACTTCCTGTGAGCATCACCGCCCTGACACAGGGCCTTGTCCTGTTGCTGAGTGGCCTCCAGCCCTAGCACCCCGGGCTCACTCTGCCGGCCACTCTGGGGGAAGTCTCTCTAGAGGCCCAGAACGTGGGGCGCTCACAGCCGTGCTCGTGCTCGAGATGAGACTGGAGCCAGGCCAGACGGCCTGGGGCAAAGCCATGAGGAAGCTTTCTGTGCCGGCCCCTCCTCCGCTGGCAGCTGCTGTGTGGAAACACTCTCCCCTGACCCTATTTACAGAGCAAGGCTGGGGAGTGGTTTCACTTCAGGTGAGGCCACCTCGAGCCCCTTCTGCCTGGGCGATGCCTGTAGCAGGAGGCCTCCCCCCACCCCCACTGTCTCCTACCACCCATGAGAAATCTGAGCACGGTCGGATGGGGGACCTGGGCAGGAGAGGAAGTCACATCTGGCAGCTTTCCTTTCTCAGTCCTAAGCTGCTCTTGCAGGCACAAGTGCCTGTTCCTGAAAGTGGGACTTTGATATCTCTCATGGGTGCTCCGTGGGCAGAGGCTTGGCCTGCAGGAGTTGGGCCCGTGTCAGCAGTGTCACTCAGCCAACATACTGACATCAGCCCCTGGCCGTCTCCATCCTTCCTCAGCTGGGCACCTGGACTCAGCTGAGGAATGAAGACTGACTTCAGAGCTGTGGCCGTCCCTGAGCACCTGGGGCCCACGTTCACCCAGTCCATGTTGTTCTCCTGGTCTCAGGCCTGGCCAAGGGCACAGGTGCCCTGCAGCTGCTCTGCTCACCTGGCCTCTCTTCCAGATCTCTGCCTTGCCCCTGCCCTTCCCTGGCTAGGCTCAACCCAGGGCCGTGCCTTGACCTGGCAGGCCTCTCTGGAACCATCCATCTC